AAGGGCTGCTAATGCGTTTTCTGAATGTGTGACACACACCTGTTTTTCGCCTAGCATATTTTTTTAAATTGTATTAATATAAACGGAATTTTATAAAAAACTTCAGTAACAATTTACGAATTTATTTATTGTTGTAATTAATGTTAATTATGCCTTGATCACAATTGTGGATAGTACCAGAATTTGAAGGCTTATTTCTACAGATGAAGTTGATGTTTCATTAGAATTATCTTTGATCTTTCCGATAGATAAGCAACTAATACATTTTCTGTTAAGTTTTTGGGTTTTTGATCCTTTTTCCAGTTTTTATATAATTCATAGCACTTTTCGTACCGTTGCAACGCATTGTCTTTTTCAAATCTGGTCAAGTATTCGTAAATTTTTCGTCACTGTCCGAGTTACCATTCATTTTTACTTTATTACAAAATTTAAATTAAGTTTTATTGTTATTTTATACTTTTGTTGTCCGTTTTTATTTTGATTTACACAAACGTCTGAAAATCTCAAATGTCAAAATGTCAAATGTCAAAATACATAAATGTCAGTCAAAGGTGTCTAGATTGTGAAATAATCAAGTTTAGCGGCCCTAGGGACGATAAATATTATTTTCTTACTACCTCGACTCAAAATACGTTGTTTCGTCCCCGATTTCACGGCAGAAAGTTTACGTTTCTTGCATTGGTCAAGCTATACGCGCACACTCTAATGGCGGGAGTAAAAATTTTTTAGTCGTGTGCTTAACATTCAAATTTCGTACTGCCAACATGAGAAACACAAAAATATGACAGTTTTAAACCATAAGTTTGCAATTATAACAACAAATAAACAATTTATGTTTTTACTTTTTTACTTTTTATCTTGTTTTAAGTGTTTAATGGTACTTTTATTTGTTATAAAGTAGTAATTTGTTAATTAAAATACAACCTTTAATTTTTACTGTATTGGCACCGCTGAATTACCATGACAACGCTACAGTTTGATTGATTTTGAATGTAAACGTCAGAATTAAATTAAACGTCAGATTTTAATTTTGACACAAGTTTTTTTTATATACATTTAATTTTTTCCCGTATTTTCTGCGGGGTAGCAAGAAAAATAGTATACACTACTCGGGCAGAAAGTGTGAGAGCCCTGAACTGCGTGCCATGATGCCCTCGGCTTCGCCTCGGGCATCATGGCGCGCAGTGCAGGAATCTCACACTTTCTGCCCTTGTAGTGTAATATACTATTTCGGTCATATTTTTAGGTTTGATATGATTCATTTTTATATGTGCTGGGCGAAAAAGTCTTTTTAAGAACAAGGAGATAAGATGGTGAAAGATTGTTCCTTGAATAATTCTGAACAAGCAACAAACTTCCATTATTTTCAGAGGGGCCTAAGCAAAGACCACTTTTTCAAAATGAGATTTTGTTGAAAATTTCCGAAAACTAATCCTGAACCGATATTTACGTTCGTGACATGTTTCTTTATAATTTTGACCTCCTGATTGTGATTCAGTTGTCAAATTTAAGTTTCAGAAAAAACCAAAATCACTAAGAATCAAAATTCGAAAACAATTCCCGGCTGTTAAATTGCCTACAAAAAAGCCTTAAATGTACTGTAATGAAAATTTTTAAAAACGTTTTAAGGTAAGACATAAAACTTCATTATTTTAAAGTAAAAACCAAAAAAAAAATATTTTTTTACAAACGGGGTTTAGATGAAGTTATTAAAAAAAATTTCCGTTTAACAAATCACCCTGTAGGAAATTTACTTGAAGAACCTTCAGCTTCATATCTATATCATGAATTGCCAGAGTATAGGGCTAGGAGACATCACAGACCAAAATAAAATCGTTCAAGAAACAAAAAAGTTATGTCGTTCTGAAAAAGAATGAACTTTTTGGTCGCGACACATTGAGTGGTGCGCAGTTTATTTAAAAAAATCAAAAATTTTCTGGCACATTCGAATTATCTGACATAGGTATACCTCCTAGACTGAAACCCGTTTGGACCAATAAAAAAATTCGACCACTGTCAGATCTTCCTAACCCAGCCTTACTTAAACTTTTTTTCTTGGGCCAAATACGTATAACTTAGGGTGGGCCAACAAAACTTTTAATTTTCTTTTCTTTAGCTACCATGAAAATATGGTCCAAGATGACGAAAAAAAATTATAGAAAAAAAAGGGTTTTTTCACGATTATTGATATTGCTTTACCGAAGAACACTCGATAAACTTCACGAAAAATATGATATTTCATGTTCTTCAGACAATATTTCGTAATAGAGTATGAAAAACCATAAAAGTCATCATTTACTATTTGAGGTTGAACTTTAACCTCAAATAACTTTTAAACGAGTTGACTAAGCAAAAAATCATATCAGATTTTTTTGTACATCGTTCAATTCCCTACAAGAATATGTATTGATTTCTACAACTCACTGATTCGTTAAAACGCAATAAAATTACAAACAAAAAAATGTTTTTTTGTTATTTAAATGGAAAATAAAAAATCGCGATGAGCCACCTCTTAATATTAATATTAAGAGCTCAAACTTTATCAGAATTTTTTTTTCGTCATCTTGGACGATATTTTCATGGTAACTAAAGAAAAAAAAATAAAAGTTTTTTTTGGCCCACCCTAGTATTCGTTAAAACGCAATAAAATTACAAACAAAAAAATGTTTTTCCCGTGTTATTTAAATGGAAAATAAAAAATCGCGATGAGCCACCTCTTAATATTAATATTAAGAGCTCAAACTTTATCAGAATTTTTTTTTCGTCATCTTGGACGATATTTTCAGGGTAACTAAAGAAAAAAAATAAAAGTTTTTTTGGCCCAACCTAGTATGACTGTTACGTCAGGCGGGCCGCAACGACCTATATTACAATAAAACTCAACATTTAAACCTTATCATATATTTTAAAATAAATGACATTCCGATTGTGCGGAACTTACAATTTTAGTTAAATCCGGCTACATGCTACTCTAAACGCGTCGTCAAGGTGTGAATAAGTTAGCTGACATCTGTACCTACACATTTTTTGCATACGTTTTATTTCTTTTTTTTTATTTAAAAATTGCCCCTAGATTTGAGTCGGTTTTAAATTCAATACATTTATTCCACAACTTTGCGTTGTCAAATCCCAATTCAGCAAGTTGTTTCATAGCGGCGGTTTGTAAGTGCCAGGAAACAAGATTAACAAATTACTGTTTGCGAGTGTTTGCCTACTTGCGCCTCGCGACTATATTTCTTACAAAAACGTATTAGAGGGGCTCGTCTAACGCCGTGTATTCTATAACTTTGATTCGAGAAGTTTCAGACTCGTCAGTCAAAGTTGGAAAGACTTCACTGTACTTGGCCGTTCCACAAGCAAAAAAAGTCTCGTCATATAACAAATATTTAAGGTGACCAACTTTCTAAAATGAAAAACCAGGACACAAGATGCCCCTCCTCCCCCTTAAAAAATAAACAAAATTAATTTTATTTATTGTTTATTATTAAAAAAAAAAAGATGAGCTAATACCGTCAATAATAAAAAAAATATCCTGAAGGTACTACCAAAAATTCAGATTTTTAAATTAATTTTTAACCTGAGCCCCGACCACTTTAGAAGACAAAAACTAGATGAATTCCTAAACAAAGTGGAAACATAATTAAAAAAAAAGTTTTTTTCTTACTTTTTTACTATCCTGAAGGTAAATTTAGATTAGTAAATTAATTTTTAAGCTGAGCCCCGACCACTTTTAATAAAAAAAAAATAAAACGATCTAAAAAAGTGGGAAAAGTCATATTTTTTTTTAAAACAAGATTTTTCTTACTTTTTTAGTCTTCTAAATGTACCTACTAAAAATTTTACATTTTTAAATTATTTTTTAACGTGAAATCCCACTTTTAAAAAAATTTCTAATAACGTCAATATATTGACTTTATACTAATTTTTTATTTTATTAAAAAAATTAGTATAAAGCAGGACCAAATCTGCAAAACGAAGACAAAACCAGTACACAATTAAAACCAGAACACATTAGCAAAAACCAGAACCTGTCTTGGGTAAACCAGCTGGCTGGTTGGTCACCTTACAAATATTATAAAAATATTGCCCTTTTTTATCTGACAAGACTGTGTAAGAAAAAGTGTTCTATATTATGTGGGCATTTTTTCATCTAAAAATTACTGTGCCTAGTTTTCGTTCCGCAAAGAAAGGGTTGGCGGGCCGCAGTTTGAGTATGGCTGACCTAACCTGACTTTCTACTTTTAATAAAGGTTATAATTGTATATTTTATATATTGTTTAACAAATAAAATTGTGCCTTGAAGATAAAACGTATGCCATTTGACTGCTGAGAAGTGTCTTTTTGTGCTTCTCTAAATTGTAAACTTTGAGCTCTGCACAAAATTACTCACTTCTCAGACTTGTTATTAAACCAACTGTAAAAAATGAGTCACACCCTAAGAATCGACCAATAAAAACTGTTCTGTCCACCTGCAAACCAGTTATCACGCGTCTGGACGTTTTTGCTTGGTTCGGCTGGGATTTGAATGCACTTTGGCAATGAGCAAAAACTTTAAACCTGTCCTTAGAAGATCCAGTTTAATCTTTTTAAAATAGGTAAAACCTTATGCAATTATGTCAAATAATATATTAATAGCAAAAAATGTATGTTTTTATGCTTAGTTTCTACCATGTGACAATGATTCATTGGTTTAGTTCATCATTGATAAACCAAACCAACAACCAACCCTGAGAAGAACTATCAGCTCTTGTCCTAATGAAAAATAATAATTTAGTTTAAATTTGTTATGGATCTTATATAAATTAAATAACAAAATAAGAGAATTAAACATATGCAACCAAAAAACATTCAATTTATCTAAACAATTGAATTCTAGGTTGCATATGTTCAATTCTCTAATTTTGTAAATCAATGGTAAGTACTTTTTTTCATATTTAATGTTAAACATATAACCATACATACCCATTAATTTAGGACAGCTTTTCAATAAAACCATAAATTTAATGGTTAACCAATCATTTAATAATTATTTTATTATTTAAAAAAATCAATATCAATATTTAAAAATTATCGTGCAAATTGTCTTCTATCCGGTCCTGATTTCTGCTTGGGTTGCCTGTACACATTGGTCTTTTGCCTGCCCCTGTCCGGACCTGAATTCATATTCTTGTAATAACCAAAACCTCCCCCTCCATTTCTTTTAGCTGGTCGTTCAGCTTTTTTAGCAGAAACTTCTGTAGAAATGTTAAGGAAAAAGTACACAAAGAATGTAAAACATTAAAAGCAATTATGAAATAAGATAAATAGTACTTAATTGCGTTAAAAATTAATTATTTATTAAATATACTTTACCCCGAAAACGGTATGCCTCGAAATAGGTTTTAAAATTAAATTTTATTGTAAGGTTTTAAGGATATTTAATATATAAAATTAACAATAAGGGAGTTATGAAAAAATTTTTTTGGAAAGATTCACCAGATTAACAACCCACTTTATCAAGGACCCTTTCTATGATATTCTTACCCAATTATGTTTGAAACTTACAATTAAGTGAAAGTTCATGATAATCATTTAATTTAATTAAATAATTATGATTTCTCTTTTTTTTTGTTACATTAAATATCTGTCGCGGTTTTGACAGCCATGGTTCTGTCTTCTTCAACAGTTTACCTTTTTACTTCTAAATAAAATATCTGTTAACAGGCATTTTTTATTATTTTTAAATTACAGTATTTTTGGGCAGATTTTTTTGCTGTTGTCTTCGCGGCTTGCAAAACCTCTTAAAAATTATTTTGAACCTTATATTTTTTGAAAACTAGTCATAAGATTGACTTGTTGCATATTTTATATTGAAAAAAACAAAAAAATGGACAAATAATAATAAATTTCTCCCTTCTGTCCATTCTTACTGTGTCAAAAAAATTATAAACTAATAAATGTATAGTAAAATTGTATTTAGTTTCAGTGATATTTTAACAACAGAGACTGTATAAATTTACTATTTAAAATCAACAAAACTTTCAATACATAAAAGTAAATTTTTATAATGGACAGAAAAGACAAATTATAAAATTTACATACATTTTGCAGCTTTTTTCTTAAAAAAAGCACCTGATCCTTTCAAACAATAGACAATTATACCTCAAATATCCTCTTAACTCAAAAACCACTTGAGTGTACAAGTGCACTTATCATAAAACATATTTTTTTAGGGTTGTAATAACTGAACAGAATTTAATTCATTATGTACAGTATAATATTACAATCAGTCAGTAAAATAAAATAAGACTCAGTAGGTACTTCTATAAAATATGATGAGTAAACATTGAATTTTGGAGCAGTAAATTTACTTTTTGGCCTGTATTTTTCTATGTTCACAATTGTGATTACAATGGTCAGTAAAAATTAATGAAATGTCAGTATGAATTAGCCAATACCAATTCTACAAATGGTCAGTAAGAATTAATAAATGGCCAGTATGCAGTAGTCAGTAATAACCCAACCCAACCTAACCCAACCCAACCTTTTGTTAATTTAACTGACTTTTATTTAGGTATACTATACTGACCATTTATTATAATTATCATACTGACCATTTGTTATTTTCACCGACCATTTAATATTATACTGATCATTTATTATTTTCATCAACCATTTATTTTTATACTGCCCATTTGATATTTTCACCGACCATTTATTATTATACTGACCATTTAATATTTTCACTGACCAACTAAAATAAAATAATGGACAAGTGCACTTACCATAAAATTGAAATACTGATCATTTAATTTGTACCGATTTTTTTATACTTAAAATAATCACCTCAGGTGTTAGTGTGCCCTTTTCGGGACACCCTGTTTTTATTCCTAATTAAAGATGACATGAAAAAACGCTGTTGGGGTAAGAGCAAAAAAATAAAAACTATCAACATTATTTAAAACATGTGTGTACCATTTATCATATTTTCATTACACGTTCAGATTAAGTTTTATATTTTAGTAAAAAGGATACTTAAATCAACAGCTGGTGGTACCTTAAAGCCAAAAGATTGTCCTACTTTGGCTAAATCTAAAGTACTAACATCAAAAATGGTCTTTAAATGATGTGAATCATATGCTCTTACATAAGCTTTAAATGCTTCTTTGCCGGACATGTTCAAGAAGTAGTTTTTACCCATTAAATTTTCCAACTGAAAAAAACACATTTGTTATATTTTTCCCATGAATATTTCTGACAAAAAGTTAGTATTACAAGGTTTTAATCAAATACTGGGACTAAACCTGAAATTTTTAATATCAAATTAAATAGTACAATTAAGCAGGGCTCTAACAGCAAAATTAAAAAAATTATTTAGAAATTTAGGAGGTTTTTGTAAAATTTTAGGAGAAATAAAGTTCGCAAATAAATTTCTGTAATTAAATAAAAACAACTTTACACTGTAGGGTATTTCCACGAAAACTTACCCCACATTGACAAAAAATCAGATGTGTTATTTAATAAAATAACAACTATATCTGAAGTCAAATAGTTTAATTGCGACGTAATTTATACCTTTAAAATATTCGTACATTGTGATGCCAAGAAGCTAACATTAAGAATAAACACGGAAGAGTTCAAATGTCGCACCCGTTACATTTTGAGAACATTTTAGAAAATAAAGTATACAAAATTTGTGCATTTAAAATACGTGCTTGTGTAAGGTTACTATTCAAGTTTTACACAAAACATTATTACTATATGCTTTCATCCAAAATTTTACAGTATCAACTTTAGAAGCCAACTTGGTCGCATTTGCCGATTTTCTGAGGTCGCGTCCGTTACGTTATTCATGCCGTTATAAAAAGGTTTTCTATACAAGTTTTTATTGACATTTTGTTTGAGTTAAATACCTAATTTTTTATACTATTTTTTTATATTTACGTTTGATATATATGAACAAACACTTTATTATCATGAAAAAACGCAGTTTTAGTGTTGCACCCGTTACAATGGAAATACCCTGTACTTAAAAAAAATGAGAAAAAAATAAATAATTCTTTTTAACAAAAATATAAATATATATCGAAGTTACATTGACTAGTTTTTTAGCCAAATCGCTCGACGAGTTTTCTAAATAAAATTAAAAGTAAGGTAAAGTTACTACTTTTGTATAATATATTATATCTGAGGTATTTCACCCCACTTTTAATTTTATTTAAAAAAAATGCCTCTATAGATTTGGTTTAAAAAACTAGGCCAAAGTGTTATATTTATATTTTAAGAAAAAAAATTTAACTGTTTAGTAAATAACTAACAATAATTGTAAAACCTTCTTTAGATTGTTTACCATTTTAGCTGTCATTTAAAAGAAAATTAAGAATATTTTTGTCTAAAACAAACGAAATATATTTTGTTGTTTTTTAAGAAAAATGTTGGTTGTGATGTTATATCATTTTAAAAAGAATTTAATAAACTAGAACCTAAAAATATGTTTTTTAAATTACTTTTTAAAAAAGAATTTTGTTAGCATGAAAACTACCTTATTTAAATGCACTAATTTTTAGGAGTTTTAGGATATTGATGGCAATTTATGGAGTTTTCAAGATTTAAGCCTAATTTTAAGAATTTTATGAGTTTTAGGAGGTGAGCCTTGATTGAGTAAACCTTCTCCCAGGTTAATAAATTGTTTAAAAAAACAGTAAAACTAATTTTTTGTATTCCTACAGAGGTTCTACTTGACGTATTTATTTATTAAATTTACTAATAAAAAATGACAAATTTTAGATGAAATAAAAAGTTGTAAAACATGTTGAATGAACAAAACTAATAATTTGTAAATGATGTTTTTCTTAATTACTTAATTATTATAGTTTTAATTAATACAATTTCTGTCAGATAAAAAAAATCAAAATCAAGTTTCCCTCAGTTTTGCTGGTTTAAATATTGAAAAATGTATGTATATTTAATAAAGTAGTAAAATTAACATTTTTAATTAGCAAAAGTATAGTTATTTTTAGTTATAAAGATTATTATTATTATTTTACTCATTAAAACATCAAATGAATAAGTGCAAAATTTTGTGTAACGTCAGACCCTGGTAATATAATACAATATTAAAATTGACGCGCTTTTTAGAAAAACAGATATAGACCAAAACTGTCTTGATTATATTTTCTTTTAAAATCATATGATATATATCTTAAAAACTTATAAAGATATATTATGCTGTTAAAACCTAATGATTTTTCATAAAAATATCTCTTTTCAATGTCATATACATTATCTTGCTATATAGGATAGCCTCAAAATATTAATTTAAAATATGAGTGTACATAAGTAACAATTTGGACTATGGCTGTTTTATGTAAGTAGTAAGGTATTAAAAATGCTTTTGTTTTAAATTTTGAAGACATTTCTAATGTGCATTTCCCAATTATAAAATATAATAATGCACTTTTTATATTTTATATTGGTATAATTAATAAATACAAGTTTTACCTAAAACGTTTATCATCAAAATGGTTAAGATGTTTTTCTAATTTGAATTATGAAATTATCGGCGGTAAATTAAATCTCGCATGCTCCAGTTCCGGCCCGCACAAAGTAAAGAATTTAAGTGTTATTTTCATTCTTTACGTTTTTAGCTTTCTTAGGGGACATTAATTACGTGAGGCATTTTTCTGATAATTTGGACCCCTCCTTCCCCCTTGGTGAGATGTGGTAGACCCCCCCTATCCCTCACGTGAGATTCTAGCCATTAAACATTCATTCCGGACATGATAAACCCAAAAAAAAAATGATTACTTTTTTTTAACTTCTATTCTTTAAACCCAAAAGTTGACGTGAGATTTTAAATGACCCCCCTCCCTTATCATAAGATTTGGTGAGATTTTGCTAGACCCCTCATCCCCTATTTTTATCTCACGTAATTAATGGATGCCCCCTTACGTTTTTAGCTTTTTAGCATGAAAAAAATAAATGGTTTCCATTTTTTGGATCCCATAGAACATTTCCACAAAGTTTAAGCAAAATCTGAAATAGTGCAGCAACTAGTTTTTTTTTCTTTTTTTGATAATTTCATTTGGAATGTCTTTAAAAATATTTAAATTTTGCAAAACTTATTTCAGTAAACTTACCTGTAACTGTATATCCGCAATCTTGCTCCAACTGAACTCAAACTCGTTGAGAGGCACCTTAGCTTGTTTGAGGTACCTCAAAAATCCCAACTCTTCGGGTCTTAATATCAGCAGCGCATGCCCACTGCTGCCTTCGCCACGCGCCGTTCTGCCTACTCTGTGAATGTACTCTTTGGGATCGTCTGGAGGATCGAACTGGACGATCCAATCGACGGCGGGTATATCGAGCCCCCTGGCGGCTACGTCGGTACACAGAAGAATGCCGGATTCGGCGTTACAGAATTGGAAGAACGTTGTGGTTCGCTTGGTTTGTTTTTGTTTGCCCTGAAATCATGTCATTACGGTTATTTAACCCAAGCGACCAAACAGCACCATCTATCAATATGTATTAAAAATGTTAAGCAGTCCAGGTCGATTGAAATCTGTATTTAAAAAAGGAGATATGTGGGATTGCATTTTTTGAATTTCATGCAAGGGATCTCAGTCTTTTATTTTTTTCAAATATTAATGAATTATTATTGAATGTATGATCGTTATCGCAATTGATTATTGAATCGTTTCATCACTCCATATAATTCAACATTGTACCAAATTTTGCTACTTTGTAAAAGAGCAAAGTTTAAAAATTATCGAGAAAATTATATATTTTTTATTATGTGCATGGTGTTTGTTAATAATAATAAGTCGTCAAACGCTTAGATTTCATGATACAGTGTTTAAATAAAGTTTAAAAAATACATTTTTAAAAAAACGTAAACATTTCTTGACGTATTGGATTCAAAAAAGGTATACAGGCACAGTTTTACGGCAGCCACTAGAGGGCGTATTGTACTTTTTTTGGATTAAAGTGACCATAACTTTCTTCTTACTGAGAAGTTCTCAATGTAATTTTTCCTGTCCTTTATTAAACAAAAAAGTACTCCGTTCAAGTTAGCCGTTTTTAAGACAATTGGATTTTGTTTGTATTATAATCAGAGCTGGCCAAGTACTGAGTACTTTTACTCGTACTTAGAAACCAAATTCAATGTACTTTAAAAAATACTGGTGGAATTCACGAGTAATGTATACGAGTATTTCCGTTTATTATATCGATGACTTTTTGCCAAAATATCGTAAGCATCAAAACATTTTGTTTGGAAGTCTGCTTTATATTATATAATATATAGTATAATATAATATATTATAGTCTATAGGTTTTATACCAAGTAAATAGGTAAATTTATAAACTATTTTATGTACATAATGTTTAAAATAATTAATTTTATAAATTTGTATTTGTATTATTATAGGCTATAATTTATAGCTCAGGACCAAAGTATGTATAATATTATACATATGTACACTCTCTAAAAATGAATTAGTCGAAAATGACTCATTACCACAGTTATTAGTGAAAATTAGTAAAAATACTGTCAAAAATTATGAAAGTAGACAGTTTTTGAGATATAGTCAATTCCATATTATATGGAAAATGGACTATATCTCAAAAACTGTTCTACTTTTCAAACTTTTTAGGACATCTTCGGATTCAGGGTACAATTTTACATGGAAATTGACTGCTAAATGAAAAAAATACAAATTGCTATTGAGGAGAATTATTAGTGGCTTCTTTTTCGCTATGACATTAGTCATTTTTGACTAACCCATTTTTAGAGAGTAAAGAATAATCAATTATATTAAATAATTTTTTTTCAAAATACTCGTACTTTTTACTCGTGTTTCTACGATTACTACTCGTAACCGTAACCTCTCTTTACAAATGTACTTACAAGTACTCATACTTAAAATTTTACGAATACTTTTTTTAGTACTCGTGCCCAGCTCTGATTATAATGTTATAAAGTTTAGCTTTTGCTGAATTAATATGATGTCGACTGTATGATCAAATGCGTCCTCCTGATAATTTAAAAGTTTAAAATGTTTCTACCTTTAGTTAAATTTTTTTAAATCCGAAAATTGCTACAAAAATTATTGCATCATGCAAAAGAACTTCTCTGGATGATATTTTCAACATAAAGTTAATTGAAAACCGAAAAAAATTGCCCCTGCGTTTTTAGTATTTTTTATCCAAACCCATCAAATCAAATCAAATGCTTAGTTTCAAGTGTTTACATTAAATATTTGCCTATGCATTTCCAGGTGTTTTTAAAATTTCACTCATTAAAGTAGGGTTGCCTTATTGAATTTTTTTGCCCGCCAAAATAGGTTTTTGTAAAATATGTATAACATAAATAAAGTCAGTAAGTTAACTCAAAAAAACAATTCATTGTGAGAATAAAATATTAAAAATAAAAAAGTATTTATTTGTAGAAAATAGAAATTGACCTTGCATGATGCATCTGATCATATTTTTCTGACAATACAATTTATTATAATTAGAACCAATAAAATGCCAGTATTCCATAGTTACGCATTTTATCACAGCGACAATATTTTTTTATCACCTTGTTTACACGCTGCTAAGGATTTTGACACTTTTCTTGATTTGACCTGCGGACTCGTGAAATCTGCAGCTCGGTTTCAATTCGAAAATATCATTGATGATAATCATACCACTTGTTATATATGGGTGATGATATCCCTCTGTTTGAGATCTGTCTCCTACTTTTAACTTTATTGTAATATGACAAACAATTGATGTGTGTAATAATTTTTATTTTATTTATGAATTAATGATTTTACTGTAAAAACAGCAAGCCTACCTCTCTGGCCTCCAAATATTATTCATAATGGAAAAAATTAGTTCAACTGTAGGCAAGGTTCTAGTTTTTTATTTAATTTATACAAAGCATTTTAGCTGTTTATCAAAAATATCATTAATTTGATATACGTCATCAAATAAATCAATATTTTGCTTTATACTTGTACATTTGCTAGATACAATAAATAAATTAATAAAAGATTTAATTTTGGATTCTAAATTTAAAAAAATAACGGACTGAACAAACAGACACCATAAAAAAAAACGGACTGTCCGTTAAAAAAACAGACAAGTGGAGTATTTGATTAAAAAAAGACTAACTTAGTTCCTTGTTAAAACTGTGTAGTAGTAGGGTACTTACAGTTTAACACTTACATATACAAGTTTTGCTACTTTTTTAATTTTTGTAATGACTATAATCTAACTAACAATAAGGTTACAATAAATTGAAGTTATACTTACATGAATACACATAACAGGCAAGTCAATGTAGTTAAACAACTCATGATGAAACTTTACAGCCATGCAAGAACTAAAGAAGACCATAACCTTCTTCTTCCTATTTTTCTTGAGGAATGTAAAAAGTACCAGTAATCTTTTTTCAGATGGACATACAACATATCCTTGTTCTAAACCAGAAACTGTGGCTTCATCTTTTAAATCATCCACTCCTACATACACAGGCTCTTTTTTAAGGGCTAAGGACGTTAGAGCCTCAGTTTTTTTGCTTTGTGTTGCACTAAACAACATAGTTTGTCTACGTTCTATAAATAATAATTAATTAATAAATATTAAAGATTTATTTAATTAATAAAAGAAAAAACGAAATAATATTGTAAACATATGCTTACTGGGCAACAAATTAATAATTTGTTTCATTTCCTCTTCAAAACCAATATCCAAAATTCTATCAGCTTCATCAATAACCAAACATTGCAAGTTCTTATACAAAAAATCGGGAGTATTTTGCAAATGATCCAACAACCTTCCTGGAGTTGCAACCAAAATATTGATACCTTTACCCAATTTTTGAGCTTCAGTTTGCCTTGCAGTACCACCCATAACTAACCCATAAGTGTGATGATGGTACTTCATTAATTCTTTTAAAACGCCAAAAGTTTGCATTGACAATTCTCTTGTAGGTGAAATAATAATAACACCAGTTCCTAGAAAAGTTTTATGTTACAAAAAAATTAATCTATTAATATAGATTTTTTTACCATTTCTTGGCATAAATTTTAGTTTGTACACCAATTCAACAGCAGGTATAAGGAAAGCCAATGTTTTTCCTGAACCTGTTTTGGCTGCTCCTACAAGATCTCTTCCTTCTAATAATGGAGGTATTGATCGAGCTTGAATTTCCGTCATGGTTTCAAAACCCATGTCTTCTATTGCCTTCAAAGTATTTTCACACACTTTTTCTTTTAATGAGGTGAATGTGCAGCTACTAAGGATTTCAAGAGCTGTCTCAGACCCAGGTACTAAAGAAGCAAAATTTTCATTTGTTAATTGTAAAACATAATTATTGAGGAATATTAAAATAAATAAAATTAATTCAGAGAAAATATCTATTCACTTGAAATCTCAACTCAAGAACAAGTTAATGTTCGAGGAGAATCATATTCGCCTTAATATTCATCATTTTAAATTTTTTCAATACACTTCATTTCAAATTTTGAAGTTACATTTTATAATTTTTATTTATTTTTTTAAAATTAACTGGTTTCTTTTAAATACATTGAAAAAAATCACTGAAGATACAAAACTACAAAGTGCTGCCCTGAAAATTAGTGATTTTTGATCTATCTAGTTTTTCTAAATGAATTGGATTCAAACATTTATTTGTTATTAGTTATTTATGTCATGTCAGGCTGAGAAGTGAGTCTTTTTGTACTGAGCTCAGTTTGAAGGCCAACGAGCAAAGAAGGTGTAAAATTGAGCAAAGCACAAAAATACACTTCTTAGCCAAATGGCATACAACAATAAATGTATATACCTATATTAAATCCATAATTGTTCGCTTTATGTATCATTTAGTAAATAAATTGCACCTTGAAAATAACATTTTTATCTTCAAGGCACAATTTCTTTTGTTACATGATACATAAAACATACAATTATAATTAAATCAAATTTCATAAATCTGAATACAGATTATCTCTGTATTCAGATATTAATGGCCTTTAGCTTTATTAGAAGCTATTTTTCCAAACAATTATAATTAATAATTAATTATAAACAATTATAATTAATAATTCGCCATGTCTAGAGTCCCGTCAGACGGTTCCCTATTGCGCTCCCGTTAACAGAGTGATGTCATCCAATGACGCAATCTTAGGACGGGAAGCAGATCTTTTTTCCTTAACTAACGTCCCTAGTCCGTCCGCTTCGAAACCAACCCAAACCCAACAACCCAACCCAACCGACCCCACCCCATTGGCCCCCCTGGCCCCATTGGTCAAATGGTCAAAAATGAGAGAAAACAACCCAAACCAACCCAAACTCAACAACACAACCCAACCGACCCCGCCCCATTGGCCCCCCCCGCCCCATTGAGTAAAAATTTTTCAACAAAGGAATATTCATTTAATTACATTTTATATTATATAACTGTAGCAAAATGATTATGAGGAGGTAAATAAATTAAAATATTAATGTAAAATTAAATATAAATGCTTTTAAGGCCACATTGTATTATTTTGGTATATAAATTCTTTAAAAAAAATTAAAAAGAGTTGTAGAAGCGCCAAGTATCGAACGTATCTCTCGCATGCAAAGCAGGCGCCCTTCCATCGATCTACCGAGCTTATTGTAAAAATCCTATCGCTCGAAAAATAATACCGATTTACATTTACAGTGTGTGACGTCACAAAGTGTTAACGGGAGCGCAATAGAGAACCGTCTGACGGGACTCTAGACATTATGTTAATATAATTATTAATACGGGTTGGGTTGGGTAACCTCACTTTCTACCTTAATTATAATTAAGGTAGAAAGTGAGGTTACCCAACCCAACCCAACCCTTATGTTCTGTGACCCAACCCGTATTACAGTTTGCAATTTTTCTTGCAACTGGCAATAAAAATTGACCAGGACAGATATTTTGAAACGGCATTAAACGTTGCTATGCGCATGTCTTTATGAAGAGTATTGTGTATTGCATGTAGCATTGCAGACTGTAATACTTCATTGAATTTTTTGATTGGTCCAGACAGGCTTTTTACAGACAAGGAGATAAAAACTTAACTAGATTGGTCTAAGTTATTTTAACATAATCAATCACTTTGAGAGTGAATGTGTACAATAATAAAGTTTAAATTAAAGCACAATAGCAAAAATATGTTTTTGACATTCTAAATTGAGTTCCACATTAAAAATTTTGTTTATCATCTTGAATAATTTAACTTTCTTGGATGGTTTTATATCCTTTTTAATTGTGTTGTTTAGTACAACAACTTTTTACACAATAACTTTTAAAACAATAAAAGGGTGTCCTTACATTTTGATTCTAATTCATTATTTTCTATTTCTTCATCACTTTCATTTTCCTCTGGTGGATCTTCTTCATCCTCGTCCTCTTTATCTCGTTTTTCCAAGTCCAAGTCATCTTTTTTACCCTTCTTTTTCTTTTTTTCTACAATTTAAAAATACAATAAAAATTGGCAATATGGGCTTAAAATTTACTTACTTTTTATGGAGCTTGGTTCATCATTTTGCCTTTTCTTGCCTTTGTTATCATTCGTTAAAAGTTTTATTGGTTGTTCAATCTCGCTTTTTATATCTAAAACCAGATTTTGTTAAAATCCACTTAACATGTTTCTTATTTACGAACCTTTATCTTTCTTTTCTGCTTCCTTTATCTGAACAAGCTTTAATTTTTGTTTCTCACGTTTTATTATTTTACGCATAAGCACTTTATCTTGTATGGACATTTTGAACAGATTTAAAACACAAAATTAACTGCACGTGTAACAACAAATTAAAAGAGAGGTTAGAATTATTTTTGAGGTTATGTAACTTTTTGCACTGCTTCAAATTTCCATTAGTTAAAGATATTGTGTTCTATTGATTATTTAAGTAAATATTTAATTAGGAGGCAAACCAATTTGTAACAATAGACTATTTAAAAATACGGTTTATTTTAATGGTTTAAATTTAATTAATATTTTAAACTCTTCGAAATTTAATATAGTTCTCGCCATAGAAAAAGGTTCTCGCTATTTGAAAAGAAAAAGGTTCTCGCTATTTGAAAAGAACTGATCTGTCACATCAATTTCTTGTTCAAATTGATTTTTTGTGATTTAAATTGGTGTTTTCTTATTTCTAAACTTCAAACTGTGCCTACAAAAAAAGCATAGTTGTTAAATATATTTTGTAGAATAATTATAACCTATTACAAAATAAATAACAAATAATGGCTAATGATCGAGAAGTTTTAAGAGAAGTATGGGAAGGAAAGCTGCCAATATGTTTTAAACTGGACAATGATGAAGTAGTTGACATTCAACAACCGGATCCTTTTTATTTGATGGTGCCTAGATTAAGTTATTTCCCCTTGGTCACAGACAAAGTAAAAAAACATTTTTCCAAATATGTTTCAAAAGAATTGCAAGACCAAGAAATGTGGATGGAATTTAATGGACAGCCTTTGAAATGGCAGTATCCCATTGGAGTTTTGTCTGATTTACTTAGGGGACCTGAAGATCATTTACCATGGTCCATTACAGTACATTTTGATAAGTTTCCTGAATTGGTCATATACAAATTTAGTAATAAGTGAGTTATTAAGGTTTAAATAAGGGTGTTTTTTTAATGTTTGGCTTTCAGGGAGACTATTGAGGCTTATTTTATGTCTTGTTTGAAAGAGGCTGATGTATTAAAGCACAGGGGTCTCATTGCAAGTGGTATGCAGAAAAAGGACCACAATCAACTTTGGTTGGGCTTACAAAATGGTATTTTATTATTTAATTAGTAGAAATATATAATTGAATTTTTTTATTTCAGATAAATTTGATCAATTCTGGGCTGTAAATAGAAAGTTAATGGAAATTACAGCGGACCAAGAAAGTTTTAAGTACATTCCTTTTCGATGTTACACTGATGATGGTTATAGACAAAAGTTGATTAAACCATTAGGAGAAGATGGTAGAAAAAAGACTTTGGAAGATTTACTCAATGAAATGTTTCCTGGAAGAAGTAGCAGTAAGTTTTTTGTTCAGGGGATCTAATAAAATAATTTTAAATTAATAAAGTTCAAATAAAAACACTATTGGTTCCTAAACTCGAGCCTAAACTTATGTTAGCATGTTATGCTATGGAAATGTATGGAAATACTAAGTGTAAAAGTTCAAAAATAACTGTTTTTGCTAACATCTCAGAAATAAATAAAGCCATTGTGTAATAAGGGGTAATTTTTTATGTAATTTCATTTAATTTGGCATCTCATTTTTTAGAAGAAATATGTACGCTTTTAAGTAATTTGTAATAATATTGTTTTCAGATAATACAACTAAAAAACTCATTTTGGGTATTTAGCTTTGTTTTTAAGAAAAGCAAATTTTTATTTACACTTAAGAACTCTGATGCAAGGGAAAATTAGACAGCTGCTAAAAATGTAAAATAAAAATAGGACATTTTAATCACATTTTCCCTTGCATCAGAATTCTTAAGTGTAAATAAAAATTTGCTTTTCTTAAAAACAAAGCTAAATACCCAAAATGAGAATGTATTATCTGGAAACAATATTATTACAAATTACTTAAAAGCGTACATATTTCTTCCAATTGGAAACAAAAATATTACATGTTTTTCCTATTCTTAATCAAGGAAACAATTAATCACTCTGTATATTAAAATACAAAGTAGTACTTCTAGATTAGGGTGTCCATTATATTATAAGTTGGCTTTTTTACTTGGGTATCATCTAAATTATTTTGAAAAAAAATCTCATGTAGTTTAAATGACATAAGAAAAATTGTATAACTTGCTAATAAATACCCAGACAGCACAAAATATCCATTAGATATCCATTGGATATACTTTTTGGATATCCAAGATATCCACTGGATATTCATGGATAACCATTAGATATCCTATAGATATCCAAATGTCCGCCTATATCCAGGATATAGCAAATATCCAATGGATATCCACATAGATATCTAGCTGATATCCAGTGGATATCCATTGGATATATTCCAATTTTAAATTTTTGTTGGATGTAGTGAGAAAAATATCTGAGCCTTGTTGAGTTTGTTATGTATGCTGCAGTACCAACATGTTGATACTATATTTTTTCAAAATATTATATAATATTTTTAATGGAACATCTATTTATATTTTTTGAATGTTATACTTATGTTGTACTTATTTTTAGTTAATTAAAAAAAACATTACATTACTTACTAAAAATATAATATATGATGTCCAATTGAATAAAAAAAATAATTTTCAAATACTTAATCATTTTTCAGGGGGTATAACCCTGTATATTTTGAAAAAATATAGCAGGCAATAAGAGCAAATATACGAAATAAAAAACTTAAAAATGGTCAATTATTTTTCTCATTAAATACATCCAAACTTCGAAATTGGAAGAAATTGCTACTGTCATTAATAATTTGGCAATCCACTAGTGGATTGCCAAATTATTAATGACAGTAGCAATTTCTTCCAATTTCGTGTACAGCTGTACACATGTGTAGTACACATGTGTACATATCTAAATATTTTATATAGATATACTATATTTGACATGAATTAATTGTATTTTGATTGAAAGGTATAGAAAAACATCAATGAATATGTTTATAATATTTTATTTATAATTATAAACAAAATTATTATTTATTAACTTATTAAATTATAATTTATTCTGGTAGAGGCATTATATCATTGTTTTTCTTTCTGTAAAAGAAAAAAAATTGCCTAATTTACAATAATAATTATTGTAATAGTTTACTTTATAAAAGTCGTTTTTTCGCGTAAATACTATGTAATACTACGGTTAAATAAGTCATGACGTCACAGTTAATTCATATAACCATGGTTAGGTTTCTAACATTTGACATTTGTTTACTTGTTCATAACCTATAATTTTTAAAATGTGTTTTTACCTATTTATATTTAATTTCTATGCTTTTACCGGTGTAAATAAGTTTCTTTGCCTCTTCTTATACCTAGTAAATTCTTTTTCTATAGGTACTAGTTTTTTCAGTACACGTTATCCAATTCTCCTACATGTTTAATACAAAAAAAGGAAGAATATAAAAAAAACCTGCATATAATTCCTCCACTTGTGGAGAGTCCACAATATGGAGCACCCTATCATTTATTTTTACTGACGTTTACAATTTTAATACAAAGTTTAAATTCGGTTTAAGAGCAATTGTACCTCCTTAAAATATTTTAAATTTCAAATGTAAACAACTTTTTGACAGATCAAAACAGAAAAATATATATTAAAAAGAGAAAGACCATTAACCACGTTGAATAACTAGCTCAGCGATATAGTTTTATGGTCTGGTATTTGTGACGTCATAGTTAAAATTTTTGAACGCACTCTAAACGCAAAAATGCCTTAACTATTAACCAAGGTTAAGTTTAATAACCATAGTATTTCATGGTATTTACGCGAAAAAACGACTAAAGTAAACATAAGTACTTGTACAAGCAGACATCTAATACACATGCATGTCTAATAAATTAGTAGTTTTACCTAAGTAGGTATTATAATAGCTATAGCTAAAGCAATAAAAAACATCCCGCCATAGTTAACAGAAGCCGGTAAATAAACAAGGCCTCAAATAAAAACCAAAATCCCAATGTAATGTGTGTGTGCAATATGAAAGACACCTATAATATATACACCACAATACCACACAACCAAACAAGAAATAAAGGCACTTACCTACCGTAAAAACAATAAATATGATGAGAAAACTGACACTTAAAAACACAATCTTAAAACGGCAGACATATAAAAATAAACGTTTCACGGTGTTTGTTGTTTGCGCAGACATGGGAGCACAATACGCAAGCGCGTCGGCCTGGCCAATGATTCTCGAGAGTCTCATGTGACGTAGTCTAAAATAGTGGATATCCATTAGATATACATTAGATATCCATGAAAACTCACATTAAATTATACTTCTAATTTCATAGGTTGTATCTCATAAACATAATGCTTAAAAAACGTCTAGAATATTTTTAACTGAAACAATCCTTTTTTATCTTTGGCTCTAGATATGTAGTTATAATATCTATGTGGACATCCCTTGGATATCCATTAGATATCCATTAAAGTTTTATTTATTTCAAAGTAAATTATTAGAAATATCAAGGCATGTGTCAATAATGTATTAATATATTTGTCTCTAATATTTGTTAGTCAATTTTGACGCAAATTGTCCTTGTGCTAATATCCCTAAAGTATATCCAATGGATGTCCACTGGATATCCGTTCATGGACTGGACATTCAGTGGATATAGGTATATCCAATGGATATCCAATGGATATTGTGTGCTGTCTGGGTAGACATGCAACAATATTCAACACGATTCAACACATATTTTTGTAGGAAATCCGACGTTTTACCAAAAAGGTCTTTTTCATTTTTTTTTTGTAAAAACATTCATTTAAATATTGGAGGTCAGTTTGAAATAAATTAAAATGACTTTGGAAATAAAATTCCAAAATTGTTTTTAGACTGTAATAAATAATTTAGATCATACCCAAGTGAATAAAGCCACTAATAAAAAGATAATGACAAAACTTTTCATTTATTGAAAATTTTCCTACTAAAATAAGTCTAGATGATATACAAGTAAAAAAAGATAATTTGAGAAATAATGTAGATGTCTGTCCGGCGAATATTTTACCTTTATCAATTTAAAGTCTCAAACACATTTTTCCACATACGTAGAGTAGGTATGTCCGGCGAATGTTTTACCTTGTGTCATCTAGAATAGAATAGAATTGCTGAATGCCAACGCCGCGGCGTCTGTGTTTGGTTAAGAAATTGATGACGCAAGGTAAAAATAATGTTACCCAAACATTTTTTGTCCGTCACTAAGTCTTGACCTACCTCCACCAGGTCACATCATACTCAGTTTTTTTTTTTCTACATTGCAGTATTTTTTACTTTATGAACAACCCCTTTTGAAAATTTTAGGTTTAAAATTGGTATTTTAAAACAAGCATAAAATAGAATATTCTGTAACAAGTTTGGAATACTAGTTTTTTTACACTTGAAATTTGGCAGTAAATAATAATTTTGTAAACATCTTAATTTCAAATATCTTGCTTGGAATATGAATTATTAAATATTTATTTTGTTTGTTATATTATTTTTAATGCATTTTGTGGTAATTTAATTAATTATCCTAATTTTCTACCTAATTTTACACTCGTTTTTTTCAGTGAGTGTTTTACTCTACTCTCCTAATTTGTTTTAAAATAACTTTTTTAATTAAAACTTAAATACATGTTTTCATAATGTTTTTACTAGTTTAAGATTTTGTTTAATTTTTAAAAACTAAATGGGGTTGTGGTATTAGCAAAATCTTGGTTATTCATAAGACCCTGTTAAATTTAAATTCCTATTAACATTAATATTTTTTTTAGTAAATGTAAAGATACATGGCATGAATCCTCCACTGGAAACTCCCTTGCAATGGATGTCAGAGCACCTAAGTTATCCAGACAACTTTTTGCATTTTGTTGTGCAACTTGAGTCTTAGACATTACACAATCAAATTCCAGGATTTAATTTTTTAATTTTTGACAAGCTTAATGTGATTTTGTGAATTGATCAAGAGTTTATCAAACCACTCTGACTAAACCTTGAGTAAGTTGCAAGTATTAAGTAATTGATTTTGTATTTATCTACAGTCAAAGAAATTAGTACTGCACTTCTTCGTTTTTACCAAGGCTTAATTATAGAAATAATATTATGTATATCCAATTTTCATTACCTATTCTAAAATTCACACTTTTTGAGAGCCTTGACGAAAAGAAAAAAGTGCTTTAGAATTCATAAAGACTGTACTCATGGAGGATGTTTTCCATTATACATTATATTTTTACTTATTTATTTTAAAAATATACGTTTATTTTTAGCAAGCACAACATATAGTTTGTATGTTTCCAAATTTAGTTTAGGAACCCTGTTCAATATTTATATATTTTTATATTTCTCTGGTAATAATATATATCATAATGTACATAAATTTATGTTTACTTGTTTTTTTTTAGTTATTTATTCTTTATGCTTCTCAATAAATATTTTGGTCTTAATCTATATATCGTCACGGTAAGTGCTCGTCCTAGTCAAAATACGCAAATTACTTTTATTTATTTAATTTACACAAATCACTCCTCTTTATGGCACTGTTCATATTCCATAAATCTCGTGACGCTACAAAGTAAATCGAACGAAATTGCTTATTGGTTTTATTACAAATATTTAAAAAAACATTGAAACAAATATTTTTAGTTGGTACGTGAATTTGATTATTTGTCACATGACCCTTTGGGGTAGGGTTACATCTGTCCTTCCTCCAGAAGGACTGTCCTTCATTAAAGGCCTTACGTTCTACTTCCATAAAAATTGTCCTTCACATTGACAATTTTTCAAATTCAACGCCTAATTCTTTACATCGTCAAATTCTGTCACAAGGAAGAGGGAAGGTGCAACTTATACCAATTTAGCTCCACGAGATTTATGGAAAATAAATTGTCAAACGAGATAGAGAGGAATATGAAAAGTTTGTATTTCGTCGTTAATACTGCAAATTTTCGTATGTAAATTTTGCGGGAGAACAAAAACCTTACTGCGTACTTTTCTAAAACATAAGAAAGCATGTGAAATTCATGCTTCTATGTTTTTAGGAAAATACACAACGTTTTTTGTCCCCCTGAAAAGTTAAACAAACGCATTTTGCAGTAGGTATCAACGACGATTACTGACATGCAACCACTACGATGTATTAGCTAGTGGATTAAACACTTAACGAAATTAGTTTATTGTAGTATAATGTCATACAAAAAATGCTAAGGCAAGTGCGTATCGTACTGTGCTTATTATGGTATACAGAGAGTTCAACTTTGTCTTTGGTGATGTGCGGAACTGCTTAATGAAAGAGTGTGAAATATAAGGGACGTATTTGACACATGAGAGACAAAGTCAGGGTCCCGTCGTAGAAATACGATCGTATTTATTGATAATATCCCTTGCTTTAACCTTTTAGCAAGGTCTTAAGAGATTTATCCAAACAGTTTAGTGGATGTTTTAAGATTCCCCTGGACATACACGTTTGGCTGATTGATTTTTCTGACTTGACGTTAATAGTGGTAGCTGGTCAGTAAGAGACAAATGGAACTCAAAGTCTATTCTCTCACAAGAGAGATTAAAAAGTTAGAGAAGAAGAAAAACGTCATTTAATATACGACTTTAATTATGCATGAGCGGAGCTTGCGAATCGAGTTTTTTAATAAATAAGTGATTATAGAAGTTTATAAAACAAGAATGTCTATGCGTACCATACTTTATCTACGGCGTTTTTTCAGAATTTACTATGGAGCCTATAGGCTCTACACAAGTAGTCCGAAGTTGTATACAAAAGTCTTACTAAAATAGGAGGGCGCTGTTGTTCTGTTGGTTGTTTGATTTTTACCGAAAAGCTACCAAAACAGGAGACGTCAGTACGCATCGACAATCAGCGCCGCTGGTGGTGAAAAAACAAGACCTAATTTGTGGGCAGGTTTTGTCAATGTATCCTATTAAGTTTGGACTCCTTGTGAAGGCTCCATGGAATTTACAGTCAATTTTGTTTGACATTTTAACTGATAGTTGTCAGTGTCAAACGTTTTTAACATCACTTTTTACCAAACTGAACTCTTATTATTATTATTTAATCATTAAGACTTATATATGTATATGAACGCCGCTGTGCTTTAAAATAAACAGTGAGACCATAACAAACCAGTGAGTGAGACAAAGTTTCTATTAATAAAACCACATGACAAACCACGGTACACAATTACTAAATGTCATTAGGTACCTACCTACATTTATCAGTTATTATTTTGAGATCTCTAAAAATAAATTTATAAATTGCCACAATAACGTTTTCTTTATAAAGCATAAATAGTTTTCAACGGGTTTTAAAAAATCTTGTGATCTCTTATCATGCTCGTTAACAAATGTGCTGTAAACGTCAAATTTCCGCGAAAATTGATTTTAGACAAATTGGCTAGAGATACACATAATATTATTTTTAGCACGGTTAATTTTGTTATTGAGAGACAAAACGGTTTTAAAATAAATAAGTTTTATAATCCTTATTACACAACATCCTTTAGCATTGACATTTAAAATTTGCCCAGTAAAAATAAGAACCGCAAAATAAAAATAGAAAATTGTTATTATAAATTTAGTTTTGTGGCGTAATTTTAGCAAAAACTTTGTTTATTTATTGGTTAAGAAACTCATATTACTCAGATTATTGTTATACGTATTTTCTTTGTCTTTTATTAGCAGATAAGCGTATACGCAGTACTATAGTAATTATATTTCATGTTTTAATGTAAACTATACAATCTATTTGTACAATATGGCCCGTGGGCAAAGTAGCATTTCGCCCTCAGGTTAGAATTTACAAATGAGCAATTCGGGAATTTATTATTTCGCCCACCCTTGACGCGTTTTATCAAAATTTATAAGCCGCGGCGTTTAGTTTACGCCGCGTAGATAAAGGGTGGGGCTTTCCCTTTCTCTTCCCATCTTTTCAGAAACATTTAATTTGGAAAATTAAGGATTTCCTGTAAAATTTTTATTAGAGGCTTCGTTTTAGAGATAACCCGGGTTTAAACCATGTTTTCAATTGAAAATGAAATTAAGCTACCTAAATAAAAAATAAGCAAATAAATTTGATTGATTGTCTTCAAAAAATTTATAACAAATGTTTGAAATGCATTTTACTAGCGTACAGATACATCTGTCATTAAAATGAATGAGAAAAAAGAATTTTGTGTTTCAACTTTGACGGCCCTTGTTATTATGCGTTTGAAATATAATATATTATATTATATATTATTATTATTATATTATATGTATATCAAACGCATAATAACAAACGATCTAACGCTTCATTGATCGATCGATAGGATACTAATTAGGATCAATGGAGCTCTAAAAGATAAGACGATTCAGTCCAGGAAACATAATATAGTATGTTTTCTGGATTGAATCGTCTTTTCTTTTAAACTCTATTGATCCTGAAAGTTTGTCGATTAAAACCTGGATCACCTGGGAGGAGATTCCAAGATCGTAGCGTATCGGAACACCCCTTAAAATTACTTATGCAACGATTACGATAATTTTACGAATTAATGATTGGAATTTTAAATATCGATATTAATAATTAATATATTGATATTGATAATAAATAAATAAATATGTATAATATATAAAATTTTAACTTTTAAGGAATTAATAGTACCTACCTATAAATACGAGATAGGTATAATAATTCAGGGTATTAAAGATGAGGTTTGAGTTTCGAGCCATAAGGCGAGATACGTAAATCATCCGAGTGAATAATGCGTATTATCTCGAGTGTTATACTATGCTTTTTCTACTGCAATTAAGTAAATTTTATTGATCACAAAATTTATTATAACCTTACTTTCTTCCGATCATTATAGTCGCCTGGTGTCCGGAAAGCGTATTGGCATTGTGTACTACGATACAGAGCCATAGTGTTCTGAATCGCAGTAAGGATTGACAAAATTAAACGCCACTAAGTACAATACAATCCATACTACGATTCAGCACATCTCCCAGTTTGTGATGTTCTGAATCATAGTAGAGAATGGTGTAGGGTATGCGCGACCGCAGCAGGCCATACTTTACTATAGTATACGATTCAGAAAATAGTATTCTAATTTGAATTGTAGTTGGATAGCTTGCCTACAAATTTATTTATTAATAAATATTAATAAAAACAAACTAGGTACTCTCTGCAGTTTTAATAATAAATACACATTAACCCAAAGGAAAAAAATCATTTCAAACCTATTAAGAAAAAGATCGTTTTACCCAAAAATTTTGCAAGTATCAGATATAAACGTACCACAACGGATTTAAATAATATTTGAAATAGTTAATAGGCTTTTTTTTCTACTTTTACATAAAACTATTAATTTTGCAAAAACATAAACATAAAATATACATAAATAAGAAATTTTATTTTATTGCATTGTATTGTATTATATTAGGTATATTATATTTGGTATTGTGTTGTTTTCTTTAATAGACACCAAATAAAAATCCATAGATTATACTTGATATAATAATTTAAAGTTAGGTATATTTTTTATTTTTTAAATATATAAAATCCTTTGCTTTTTTCTCTTATATTTAAGAAAGAAAAATAGAAACATGAGGGCATTAACTACTAAAATATTTATAAAAATCTATTAAGGATTGTCGATGATAAAGCCAAATAAAATTTTAGGGTAAAACGATCTTTAAGTTAACTCTTTAACTTGAAAAATCGATAATAAAAAATAAATATTGTCAGTGAGATTTTTGGTTGGGTCTGTTTCACTACTATTAATTAATTTCTAACATAACCTATAACTCTGGCTTATTACTTTATGCGTGCGGCACATAGCCAATATTTTCTGAATCGCATGCAGTAAAGTATGGCCTGCTGTATTCGCGCAAACACTTCAA